TACTTGAATTATTATTGCCTATTGTATGTATCATCTCCATCTCCGAAATGAGAGTGAAGATCAAGACAGCGTTTACAAAGCTCATTCGATCAAGGAACATTGTGGAGCCGTTACGGCGAATCTAATTCACAACCGAACAACAGCGTTTTCTTGTACTGTATTGCATCGATCAGCCGTTTACAGTCGTTCCGCAGAGAGTTTAGGATGAGCTTTGTGACATCGTAATCATGTGATGTCTGTGTATAATTACATTGTTTTGAATAAAATTTTATCGGACAATCAAGTCACTAAGGTAAGAGGATGAGTTGATATTGACGCAAAGAATTATCAGCTTATTGTTAGCTATATTTTGACATGCGTTTCGGCAATGTGACGATACGTGAAGTGGTGTTATATGCATACTGACTAGTTTGTCATATACAGATTCGTACTAGCTGAAGTTTTAAAATTGACCTATTTTCATCGGTTTCATAATTGATTTTGGGGTACTGAAGCGAATTTTTTTGCTTGATTTTTGTCAATTTTTAAGATTTTTACAACCTAAACATACAACCTCAAAGGTTTTCGTGTGACAAGTTTCTAATTTATCATCAAAATTTCCGTCGTAGATGTTGAGCTCACACATTCTCATGGTACAAGGAAGGTCTTGAATCATGCTGATTGCATTTTATACGGTCACTATATATTGGTTATTCCTTACAAGTTAATCTCGATCTAAACCAAAGATTTACTATCTCAAAAGTTCTAGCACACTTTTCCAGACTGATTTTAACTGAATGATAGAAACTTTCAATTATTCACAGTTTTCAATTTAGTTTCTATCACTAGAATGTGTGAAAGTCTCTGTTTTGCTGTATTCAATACTGACCATCTCGTTCTATGTGTCTATTTCATGAATATTTTTTTCGTTAATCAAATCGTTGCGCCATGTCCATTGGGTTGCCCTCGTATGATATGCATCACAATATGTTTGTCTATCTATCATTGTCTTTGTATTTGTTACACAATTCAACACTATAAATACAAAATTAATCTTTTTAACTGGCTTGTTTCTTAGTAGTTTTATAAAGGCTGACAATGATAGTAAGTTTTTGCTTCGTAGTAACTCGTAAGAAATATGGTATTTTACTGTATATAAAAGATCTACATTGAAGATGTAAGTGTGAATGACGAGAAGATTCCACTCATATCCACATATCATTGTACTTTTCAAAAAGTATGTTTCTACTATTCACAAGAGTTGATTACTTCTGAAAAATGTTTGCCTATTTTTCAGACTTAATTTTACAGTAAGGTTTTATTGATTGCTCCAAACATCATTATTTGATCAGATATTTTGAGATATAATCGATGAAATTTCCAAAAACCTTCAAGACTTAATACATTAACTCTTATTGGTGAATATACTCGTCAAATCAATCTTTATGAAAAAGACGAAAACTACAAGTCCTTAATTCTGTGTTGTTTGCATGCTCTATGTCCACTCTAACATTTAGCATTGGATGAAGCTCTCTCTACCACATCTGATGTTTGACATTGACTATTTAGGAGAGAGAAAATGTCAAGTGAACCTACACCACCGCGGTTAGTTTCACACCATTTTCCATCTTTGATCCCTTCAGAAGAAAGCGAGCAGTTTTCAACAAGATTATGTATCATGAGTAGCCATACAAAACATAAAATTAATTGAACAAGACATGTATCGAGATACTAATGTACAATTTGTAGCGTTGCATATTGTGCTGATCCATGCTTTCATATTTACCGTACCTTACTAAACTTTTGAACGGAACTTCAAATGTCGAATACATTTTTTTATGATGAAGCTCTTTGCACCTGGTTATTGAAAAACAACCTCTGTTTTCAATATATGGCAATTCAACAAATTTGTTCACAAAAGTTTGTATTGTTCTTAAATATCTGTGAATTAATAAAACTTATTTTGTAACAAATTTACTGGTTAATTTCAAAAAAAAGTAACAGTTAATAGTTTAAAACTAAAATAAATTCACACATTAGGCACCTTATGCAACATGTTCACGTCTTAAACCAATAGCATTATATCAGTTCTTTTCGCAATACATTTCACAAGAAAATGCATTACTCTTCACTTTATTATCAAACAAATTTCTGTGAAAAAAGTAGAAACTGTATCTTATGAATTCATAAAATATATGAAATAAACATTAGCAAAGTCAAAAAAATAAATTAATAAAAAAAAATTGTTTCTTATCACTCATGGGAATATGACGAATTAATATCGTTATAATCACTCTAAGCCAAATAACGAAAGAGATCTCTTTCGTTAGAATCTCGTTCCAAATATTCTTTTTCAATTAATAAATCTATACATTGCTAAAATAAACATTGGTCAATATTATTTTATGATCAAAAACAAAAACTATACTTTGATGATAGGAATTTCGGGTTTAAATCTTGAACTTAATTGTTGAATAACTTCTTGTACTAATAATGCATGTTTTAATTGTTTTCGCATTTTCATTATTCGAACGATAGCAGCCTAACAAAATTAATAAAAAAATAATTGAAACAAAAATACTTCTCTTGTTTGTTTTTTACTTGAATAACTATTTTGCGATCTTCATTAATTGATGCATAGATAGGTCTAGAATCTATTGGATTTGGTGCGGCAGGTCCTGTAAGTTTAACTAAATTAATCTTAATTCTAGTACTAAAGAAAATAAACTAATGAGTAATTTAAAAATTTAAAAACTAATATCAAACCTGTAAAGTTTCTGATTAATTTCAATAATAGAATTTGTTGTAATACCACTTTGGTTTAAATTTTCATTTAATGTATCTGCATTGATTCCTGCACATGTTAACACTTTATTTTTTAATAAATTGAAAAGAACTGGTTCAAATGATTCAGAGCTGATTTGAGTTGTATCTAATATTTGTTGAACTGTCATATTGTCGAATTTATTAAATAAAAGTAAAACAGCCATTTGATATGTTGATACCTTTTATGTTAAAAAAAATTCAAGAAAAATTATTTCATAGAGTAAATTAGCGTTTACTTGTAAAGTATATTTTGGTTTTGTATATACAGTTTGTAATTCACCCTTTGAATATTGAAAAAGGCATTTTAATTGACGACCATTAAATCTGTTCAAATAAAATCTTTCAAAATCTTTCAATATTGATTCAAGCTAAAAGATAAAAGGAATATAAAAAAATACGTATTTCAAAATATTACTTCAGTTGGTAAATTAAACATTGCTGGAACTGTAAATGGCCATGAATTTGATGTAAGTACCATAACAGAAAAATCGACTGAAATTAAAAAAAAAAAACAAGAAATTATACAACCATTATTCTTTTGATTAATCATACATATTCTAATCGATTGTTTATTTTCACAATATGTTTTATATTCCTTAATTAAACTTGTACTAAGACGAATATCTTGAAACATTCGTTGTAGTTTAGATGCATATTCAAAACCACAAGTTGCCTAAACGACAAGATTTTAGATAGAAAATATTGAATTATTATTATTTACTCCTAATTTTGATATTAATGATTCTTCGTAGTCATCTGATGCACTTAGTTGATCAACTAAACGTTTTGCTAATAATCTTCCATAAAATTTTTGAAAAATATCTTTATCTTGTATGTAATTAAAAACTATCTATAAAATATAAATATAAAGTAATTACATCATGATTCAATGGAAAATAATACCATAATTTGATTGATTTTTTCTTCAACTTCATTTTGTTCACTTCTATTTCTATAAAGAAAAAAAAAATGGAAATTATAAATTTAAAATAATAAAATTGAACTAACCCTTTTCGTAAAATAATATCACAATAACGAGCTAATAATTCAGATGATTTTGTTGATCTTTGAGCTCCTTGTACTATTGCATTTTCATTAATAATTTTACTACAAGCCTATAAATGACAAGAATAAACAATATATATGTAATATGTAATAATTAATATTTTTACTCTATCAAGAGCAGTCGTATAACCATGCTCACGATTGAATGCTTGGTCAACAATTTTAAAAAATCTCATATACACGTCAATAATTGCTTCAATATAAGTTTTAGGTTCCTGATTAAAAATGAAATAAAAAGCAAATGAAAGTCATTAGACAATAAAACCGTTATTTACTCGGATTGCAGTAGCACTTGTACGGTTAATTATATCTAAGCCAATGTCACATATTTGTCTTTCCAAAGCTGTCTGAATTGGTTCGTTGCCTTTCTCTATTCGATTAACCAATTTGAATATAAGATGTAAATCTATAAAAACAAAGATTCAAGATAAATTTTCCACACATGAAAAGTAAATTAATGCAGGGTCTGGGTTCTCAGTAGCGGGAGAATGATCGTATTCAAAGCATTTTTTTTTGGCATACTATAGTATGATCGTTATAGAACACTGAATGGGTTAGGCTGGGCGAAAGAAAGTTAGTCCGTGGGTCACTCATGGACGATCTGTCTTGCTAAAAGGTTTTCTCAAAATAGTTAATCTTCTATGTTAGTTAAAACTATTGATTGCTGTTAACTATCTTTCTATTTCATGAATAAAATCAGAATATATGATGTGGAGTGTGAGTATAAGTGCCGCTTTGCGTCTTTGTTCTTCATGCACTCACACCCTTATCAGCATTAGTTGACGAGCAGACGGTAACAGATATTGATGATTGAGAAGAATCAGTCGAAATAGACTTAAAATAAGAGAAAGTAATCGATGATAATGTATTTATTGACGAAAGAGGAAAACAAGACAAAGACATTTGCTGAATATAAGCGAAGTCTTTTAGTATGAATATCCAATTTTGTACGTGTATCTGTGGTTGGCTTCGTATATTCACTCGCTGTTCATCGAAGCTATGTTGAATTCATGAAAAATCTGAGTAAAATTTTTTGGAGAAAGCAAGTTTTCTGAGAAGATATGTGATATCCTTTTAGATAGTTTGTTGTATTCAAAGGTTAGTGCATGGAAGTCCACCGCAAAGGTCGGTCCAGCGCAGTCGAATTCATGGTTTTCTTTTCCAAAAAAAATGTGAACCATGGATAGACTAGGCCAGAGCGTTTGACTCAGCTGATTCAGGCCTTTGGGCAACAACTTATCCTAGAGACTTCTCGTTTTGGAAACAGAGTATATCGTGAAAAAGCACTGATAACTTTTTCGATAGACATTTGCCAAAAGTCGTATTTTAAATAGGCTTTGACCCTTAAGAAAATTGACGTACTGGTAATTGATGGAAACTATTGCTACGAAATTCATGCAAGTGGAAGAAACAGAAAGATGGTTGTTATAAATACTTTTGCATCTTCAATCTATTATTCATATGTCTAATAGAAATATCTAGAATTACTGTAGCTACCTTGTACTTATGTTACACGTCTCTCATGACTAATTTTTCTACAATGTAAAGACGAACAAGACGATTTTCATTTGAAATTTACCTTTAATGTTTTCATTCATTAATTGTTGCATGGCTTCGTTATAAATACCAACACATTGATTTTTAATGAGAACTTGTTCAAGCATTGAATTTAATGGCTGCAATGTTGTTGGATGTAAACAACGTTGTATACGTTTTTCTTCCTCTTCAAGTCGTCGAGTGATCTATAAAAATTATTTCCAATCAACTGAACAAAAAAACAAAGCATTGTCAATATTACTTTTTTTATATAAGCATTCATAGAATTATTTGCAAGAAAATTATTTGACTCAAATTCATAATATTGTTGTGTTTCTTGAAGAAATCCTGTTTCAAAATAATCTTTATATATCGCAAGTGATGATAATGGCGTTTGACTATGTCTAGATCCTTTGTCAGCTTCATTAAAACCAATTGATGCTAGAACAATGAAATAAGAAAATGTTGAAATAAAACGATGACTTTTATATATTTATATGTCAAAGTCGAAATTCTAAGGTCCGTCTAGACCATTTTAAGATTCGAATTTCAACTATTCAAAACTTGGATCGAGCAAACATATTAAGTCAATACTCAATAATGGCTGTGATATCAATGTGGTATCTGAATTCCTTTTTGAGAACCTATAATACGACAGTGATACTTCTTTTGTGCATAGATGATTTCTCACGAAAGTTTGACTTTAGGCGATCCCGCTTCTTTTGGACCACTGCTGCTTCTTCGCAACAATACAAATGATCGAACTCAAGATTTTTCGGAGATATCTGGAGCAAGTTTTCAGAGATGATCTTAAGTTTTTTTTAAAATATCAATTTTTCTGTTTTTAATTAGAAAAATCAATTTATTTCTTAAAGGTTTAAAATTATCTCTGAAGTGTTATCCCAGATATCTCCGAAAGAAACTTCCGCTCAATCGAACAAAGCAAGTCCTGACTCGCAGAAGGGCTCGATGATCTTTGAAGATCCGTTCCAAAACTTCTGAAGATCTGCTTTGAAAAGTTTTACCTCGGACAGGAATTCCATCATTTTCGATAATCTAGCGGTAGGAAAAATTTGAGCTCCACCGAGTCTATTCTTGCGGAGAAGCAGAAGTAGGTTAAAACAAGCGGGATATTTAGAAATCAAAGTTTCATGAGCAATCGGCTATACATAGAAGAAGTATCATCACTACGTAGTACTACATCAAAAAAAGAAACTCAAAATTCAATATCAATTTCACTACCAAAATTTGATTTCGATTCTAGTTTTTAATTATATTCAAGTTTGGAGTAGTTCAAGCACCAATCTTAGATGAATCACTGACATAAATATATACTTATTTATATACCATAACTTTGAACAGCCTCACGAATTAAAGAACAATCAATTTTCTCTCCATTACGTTCACATTTAATCAAATTCAGGCAAGTTCGTGTCACTGAATGATTAGCTTGTTTAAAAAACATATCTTGCCAGATTTTCAATGCCATCTAAATCAAAATTATAATATATTATGTAAAAGAAACACTTAATTTATCAACGTACAGTATAAATATCATAAACATCTTTGAAACCAGTTTCTCGTTGATAACGAACCCAATTCTGATTTATATACATCAATAAACTGTTTATTATTCGACTGGTCAATTGGTAGCTTTCCCAAGCTTTGCAATAAAATCGAAGAAAATCTGCACCTGTTAAATAACTTCCATTCTATAATAATAAACCAAATAAAATGATAATTTATAATTAAATAAAAGAAAAAAAAATGATCTGATTATATTGTGAGATATTCATATATTCTAATACATTGATGAAAATTGACATTATACTAGTGATTTATGCAGGTTTTTGTTTTCTTTTGCTTGCTAATATATATTTATTTTCAATAAATTTACCTGCACTATATTTTCAAGATTTTCTTTTAATGTTGTCTGTATGTGTAAGTAAATTTGACCACTGGGCATATTCGTATTAATTTGATCGTCGTTGACTTCATTGTCTTTTGTGGCTGCTTCTGGTTTTTTTGGTTGTGCTTTTGGTGATGCTTTTAATACCGCATCGTTATATTCAGGGCTTGTGAAATATTTATTAATATGACTGAAATATAAATTAGAAAAAAATTTCATTATAAGATTGATTTGAAGATAAAAACAGACTTATAAAAATCAATATAATTCTTTTTCGTCATAGATGGAGCTTGAAACAGTTGTTCAATAGTAATCGATAATTTGGTCAATATTTGATTTATAAAAGTATTATCTTGTGACATGGTTCGTATTCGGCTGTCTGTACGAAAGTGTAAAGAAGAAAGAAAACTTCAAATAAAAAATAAGGTATTAGTTAGACAAAACATGTGAATCATTGACGTTTGGAAGGTTCCTTTGAAAAACACAGGGTAAAGAACGAATCACACGTTGTGTAATTTCACCATACAAAAAAAAATTTTTGTCATTATAGATCTGATTTGCAAATTTTTCCCACATTTCAGAGATCATGAAAAAAATAAAATGGTGTAAAGAAAAAACTAAATTTTGTGAATGACTGCTTGCATTAATTGCACATATAATAGCAAGATGAATAAAAAAATAAAAAGAGCTCGAAATATTGTGCAGATATTCTCATTCATCATAGAGAAATGTTATTAAAAGTTTATTTTATTATTTTATCAAAAATAGTAATAACGAATTATTTATATGAATGAATTTAAGACATAGCAGAAGGCTTAAAACCTTGTTTAGAATTCATATTCTCTGTTTACTACATTGCAACATCTTTCTAACAAACAAACACAAATATTTGCTATAACAACTTACTGATAGCTTGCTGGTCTCTCGAAAAATCAAAACGACATAGTGAAAAAAATAAACCTTTGCCGTATGATTCATTGTTTTTAACAAAACTTACTTCCTAAGGTCGCGTAGTGACCTCTATAAATGGAAAAACATTGAATATCATGAGTGTACTCGAGAGTATTTTCTCATAAATTATAAAAATATATGTAGTATTTTTTAAGTACTAAAAAAGTATTTCCAGACGTCAACATTCCTGACACATACGGAAGCAACTCAGAATGTTTCGATGTTTGAAAACTACTTCATAAGAGACAACTGTATTTAGTAAAAAATCTGGTCAAGACGAGGGACCTAACTATAGTTAGTAGGTGATCATGGCTATACTGCAAAACAAAGTCTACAATAATAAATCTTATAAAAGAATTTATTAGTCTTATCAAATCTGCATAAATTTATACAAACCCTTGCATGGCTATAACAATAATAGAGGCCTTCAAACATTGATGAAAATAACAAATATACTCCTCGAGAGTTTCTTATCTTTATAGGCGTGTAAAGATTTCTAAAATTGGTATAAAGACTAGAACAATTTATGAAATCGGCGTACCACCTAATATTATTTATCAGAATTCGATCTAAAACTTTTGAGGTTCATAAACCATTTTAAGGAGTTCATTATTCTCTACGCTTCTTTTTGCAATATCAGTGCATCAACGCGACGATCTTCTTTCTACACAAGCTCGCCGACATACCTTCCACAGGTCCACTCCCACCCTCAAGATCGATACTTAGATTCTGCCAAATAATACAGGCTTTCATACATCTCTGGATTACGACAGATCGAATTACTCTATCACTAACATAATATAGGTATGAAGAATCTAGTTTTTTTTGATAAAATAAAATGGATGTTAACGCATCAATATAATGAAGACTCAGAAAAGTGTTAGAGAAGCCTGTAGTATATACAAGATAAAAGACTATGTTTGCATGCTAACTCAATTACAATAAAGTCGATCAACCTCGAATTGCTACTTGCGATCAGGATTTACCAATATCTATTCATTATTAAAACAGCTGGCAAAAAGATTGAATTTTACGCAATTTTTACTTGATAAAAGAACTTACGATGATGATGTATTATTTAGAAATGAACAGTAATTGAAATAACGTTTTAGTTTTGCTATTTGATGTGTGCTTTCTCTCCTAAAAATATTTAATATTACACTACATCAACTAAACATTCAACAACATTTTTTGAGATATGCTCAAATTTTCTTTTTCGGAAATCTTCAAAATCAGTAATAATTCTTACGGATCATACAAACTTAACAAAATATAAAATGAAGAAATTTACTGAAAACTTCGAGAAATTACCAAGACATCAGAAGTAAATTTTCAAGATGTTTTCCATGATTACTCATTTACTACAAGAGAACATCTATTTAATTTAAGAAAAAAAGAAAGATCTGCAGAGAAATTACTAGGAAACTTTCACTAAAATATTGAAAATACTAATAGCTACGCAATATGTATCAAGGAAATCACGATAATTTTCATCACAAAAAAAGGATATCTTATGCAATTTTGTAGCATATTGGATGATTCAATCGAAATTTCTAGGATTTCGTTGTAATTTCTGTAATTACCTAAAGATATGAAAATCTCACACTTTTACAAGGAAGGATTTTTCGCTTGTATAGATTTCTTTGTAGATTTCCTTATATTGCAGATAAACGAAGAGATTTGAAACTTCTATAACCTTCTAGTAACTCATGAAAATTCCATCAAAATTAGCTAGAAAATTCTTGTTATATTTTCGTATTCTACAAGATCGTGTAAGAAATTCGTTTTGAATTGGTGGCAATTACTATGATTTCCTTGATATAGACTTCATAGTTGTTCATATTTGTTCATATTTTTACGGTAGTTTACTGATCATTATCTCTGTAGATAATTCTTGCTTCGCAAATGACGTAAAAACTTCGTCGTGGCATATGTATAATTTCGAAAAGTCCTTAGAAATTTTGCTTCCCATGTTTGAGTGAATTCCGAAAACTTCCAGCAAAATTCTGCATACTTAGTGAGAAGTTTTAGTGATTCCAATGTTTGCTAAAAATATTTTATTACCTAGTAGTAATTTCTAAGCTGTTTATGACTCGTCAGGAAAATTTCTTATTTTCTCGAAATTCGAACACTCCTGTGAAAAACATAAATATAAAAAAGTACTTTATTTAGGTCAATAGCAATAGAAAAAAACAATAAAATTTACTTCATTCAACTTATATTAATCGTACTGTTCTGTGTTTGTTAGTAACATATTAGCTTGCTATTGTTATTTTACATGAATCAACAATTATAAAAAACACAGTTTTCGATTTGATTAAGCTTTCTTCAAAAACAAAACATTCATTTCATTTTTGAAGACTACATTGATGGAATGTCATTAATTATAAAATATCATTGAAAAATACCTGCAATAATCTTAATTCGTTTCAATCATTGCATATTTATTGGGTAATATGTGAGTTTTATGTTATTGTTGAAGCACTTATTTACTGGTGTGCATTTTAGAGTACTTTTTTTTTGAAAGATCACATGATCTTTTTTTCCCTTCATTCTTTTTCTTCTGTTTTTAATATATTACATTGAATTTTTTAAAGTGCTTGCCTATGTTTGCATTAGGATTTATAAACATGAAACGACACTTAACAATAATAGAAAGTTACACTGTTTTTTTTTTGCAACATATATGTTAAATAGGGATAGATCTTCGAAAGAAGATCACCGAGTTTCTTATTGAATAATATTTCATGTTTATATAAATATTTTTAGGTTAGTTTATATCAGTAAAGCCGAAATAGAAGCAAAAATAAACCGAGAAAGATAAATGTTACAACCCAAAGGAAAAGAATGCGAAAAAAATATATATGGGGAAACAAAAAAAAAAGGAAAGGATAAATAGCATTTTCTTGGATAGGAAACGCACAACATGTACATTTGAGCTGGTTATAAGATAAATATTAATGTGGTTCTTTGAAGTGACAAAGATGGACGGTTCAATTAAATAAAAAGTTTACAGGAGAATACAAGTTGTATTTTCTTTTCACGGCTACGATCGACAAGAAATCTTAATATGATGAATCAATTTATCTGTTATTGAAAGTTTAGTTTTGAAATAAAGACTATGTAGTTCAGGCAGAAAAGTAAAAAAAACAAAGAATTTGAAAGTAGAAAAGAAAAAGAAACCGAAGGTTTTGTTGTCAGAAATGAAGGAAGAAAAAGACGTCGAAAAATTTCATTTTAATCTAAAATGACACCAGGTTTTTTTCATTTTTTTTCGATTTAATCGTTTTATAGAAAAGAACTTGATGGTATTATAAAAAAAAAAAAAAGAATTTTTTATTCGATTTTTTTCATGAAAAAAATAATAGATCAAAGTTAAATTTTTCGACGTTTTTTTCATATCCATCACTTGATTATTTATCTTAAGCCAAATAACGTAACACATCTTTTTCATTTGATTGACGTTCAAGATATTCTTTTTCAATTAAGATATCAATACATTTCTATAATAAATGAATATTTATCAATTAAAATTATTATTTTTAAAATATAATTTAAATTTAAATTTACTTTAATCACAGGTATTTTTGGTTTAAAACGTGAACTTAATTGTTGAATAACTTCTTGCATTAATAATGCGTGTTTTAAAGTTTGTCGAGCTTTCATTGTTCGAACAATTGCAGCTTGAATAACCATTTTTCGATCTTCATCAATTGTTCGATGTAAACCTTCGATATCTTTTTGTTCGACTGATTTTAATGGTACATTCAAATTTATTTTTATTTTTTTACTAAAATAAAATTTAAAAATTATTAATATTGAACCTTTAGACACAGATTAAGGTGCTAATCAAATTATTCAATAGTATAATTATCATCAGTCGGTTTTGTGAAATTCATAAAAGTTAATTACAGGTAGATAAAATCTGATGTATATTATTCTTATCTAATTAGATACTAATCCATTATAAGATTAAAATAGAATTCTATGTAACGTTGTTAACTGCCACTAAGATTCTTTCGTTGGTCTTATTATGAATTTTATTGGTTTCTTGTATGATTATTCAATATATTGATCGATTTGTATCCATTCACTATTTCCTTATTTACCACTCTCAATTAACATTCAAGATGGCATTTATCTTGATCTCATTCTGCAACGATTGTTCAATGGTTTATCAACCGATTTGTCATTTATTACTCATCAAAAATATCCTTGCATCACCAAAATCATAACGTTCTTTGAGGACTTAGTTTTTTTTCTATAAACTTCTAATCTAATGATTAACAAAATATACTGACCTTTTAAAATCATCAGCTAATTGAATATTATAATTCATTTTAATATCAGTCTCTTTCAAATCTTCGTCAAATTCATCATCATTAATTTCTGCACATGCTATTAATTTACTTTTCAATAAACCACAAAGTACTTGTAAAAATAAATCAACTTTGATTTGAGTTTCATCTTGCATTCGTTCAATTGTCCAACTTGAAAATTTATTAAATAGAAGTAGAACTACCATTTGATATGTTGATACCTTTGATATTTTGAGGAAAAAAAACCACAAAAAAAAAACTAAATCGTAGATTAAATCAATGCTTACATGTAAAATATATCTTGATTTAGTAAATAATGTTTGTAAATCTCCTTTTGAATGTTGATGAAGCCATGTTAATTTACGACCATTATGTTGTTGAGTATAAAATTTAGTAAAACTTTCAAATGTTCTTTTAAGCTAAAAAAAAAAAGAAATGTTTAATAAAAAACATATTAAAAACAAAACAACAATAATGATAATAAATCATACTTCAACTGGTAAAACAAAATTTGGTGGCGCAGAAAATGGCCATGAATTTGAACTAAGAACCATGACAGAAAAATCAACTAAATGTAAAAATAACAAAACATAGAAAATTCAAAATTTTAAATAAAATTCAAATACCAATATCAGAAAGTGAATTTTTTTCACAATATGTTCGATATTGATCAATTAAATTTTTACTAACACCAATATCTTGAAACATTCGTTGTAATTTTGATGTATATTCAAAACCACATGCTTGCTAAAATTGTTATTCAATATAGAATTTTTTTTTAAATAATAATCAAGAATATTTTATATTTACTTTTAATTTTGAAATCATTGATTCTTCATAATCATCAGACGCACTTAGTTGACCTACTAAACGTTTGGCTAACATTTTTCCATAAAATTTTTGAAAAACATCTTTATCTTCAACATAATTAAATACCACCTGAAATAAAAATAAAAAACAAATTAAACAAAAATAATAAGAGATAATGAACTAGAAAATAATACCATGATCTGATTGAATTTTTCTTCAAGATCTGTTTCTTCTACAGCTTTACTTCTAAACAAAAAATTTTTAATTAATTATATTCTAATAAAAAAAAAATCAAATCTTGAACAAACCCTTTTCGTAAAAGTGTGTCACAATAACGAGCTAATAATTCAGGTGATTTTGTTGTATTACCAGCAGCTGTTGTTACAGCATTATTATTAATAAATTTACCACAAGCCTAAAACACATAAACACAAGATGACAACTCATATCACATATTTATTTGCACTATCGCTTTTTCGTGTTTACAATCTTTGGTTTCAACTATAAATGGGTGCAAAGAGTGTTTTATATTCTAATTTGAATTATTTATAAAAAAGAATGCAAATTAATTGAAAAGAAAATAATTTCAAAATACATTTTACTAATAAAGATCTATTTCATCACTACATTCGATTTAGGCTCTGTGGTCACTCGTTTTGATAACAATGCATCATAATCACTAGTACAGCGCACATTATACCGACGGTAGTTATCACATATGAATAAATAAGGAAAGAAAAGCTCGACTTACTTTATCAAGGGCAGCTGTAAAACCTTGTTCACTACTAAAAGCTTCTTGTACAAGTTTGAAGAATTTTGTATGAATTTCAAGAATTGTTTCAACATAAAGTTTAGGATCCTAATTAACGAAACAAATAAATATGATAATACAATAGAACGAAAGAAAAAAAATTGTATTACATTAAGTGCACTGCCACTGACACGTTCGATAGCATCAATGCCCATTTGACGAATATGATCTTCAACAATTTTTTTCAATTCAACAGTTGCATTTGGTACTCGACTGACTAATTTGAATAGAAGTGCCAAATCTATTAAAACATAAATTAAATGAATTATTTTATAACAAAATTAAATCTTATTTGATTCTATCTACCTGAATGTTTTTCGGCATGTAAAAGTGCTTTAGCTTCAGTATAGATTGCTTCAAGTTGATCACGAATGAGTACTTCTTCAACTTTTTTAATTAATGCTGCTAATGTTGATGGATGTAAATATGATTGTACACGATGTACTTCTTCATCAAGACGTTGAGCTACCTATTATAAATATTTATTAAATGTTTTATAATTTGTTATATAGACAAAAGTAAACCTTTTTTAAATATTCAGTAACAGAATTATGAACAAGAAAAGTAGCCGCTTCAAGTCGATAAAATTGTTCAGTATCTTGAAGAAATGGTATTTCAAAATAATCTTTATAAATGGTCAATGTTGGAGATGTTATTGGATGATTATTTGGTACAGATGAGTTCTCGGCAAAACCAAGTTCAACTAAATTTTTTTTTATATAATTTTCAAGAGATAAAAAAAAAGAACAAAATTTTATTTGAATTTTACCATAACTTTGTATAACTCCACTAATCAATCGAGTATTAATTACTTCATTTTGACGTTCAGCTTTGATTAATTGAAGACATGCTAAGGTGACTTGTCTATTCAATGGTTGAAAAAATACTAACTGCCAAATTTCCATTGCCATCTAAATTTATATTCAATTTCTAATTAAACTGAAAAAAAAGAATATACAATCTAATTAACTTACAGTAAAAATTTCATAAACATCTCTTCTTCCGGAATCATATTCTCGTCGTACCCAATGTCGATTTAAATAATGACAAAAACCGTTTGTTACTTTACTTGAAAATCGATAATGTTCCCAATTTGTGGTATAGAAACGAAGTACACTTTCTCCTTGTAAATCAAGTCCTTTCTAAAAAAAACAATAACAAAATAATAAGATATAAAATAATAAGTAATTATCTAAATAATACACTTATTTTCACAATTCACGATAGAAATTGTCTAGAATTAACAATGAAGCCGCGAGAAACCATATTTTCCGTTAGTTACTTCGTTTTCTCTTTTAGATTTACATCACTTTCTATGACTTCAATCGTCGGTAGTTCTGCTACGAATTATAAAGAATACTGGAATGATAATGATAATAAGATCGTGCTCGATAATATGATTTTACGCATGAGTTATTTATTTTCAACTCATAGTTTTTTTTCAAGTGCTTCTCAAAAAGTATAAGTCAAATGGGGAGCCTTGAAATATGATTTATGACTACTTCATTGGATTTTTACGATCTGTAGTTTACTTTCATTGACATAAAACGACTACTTTATCTGTTAAACAATATATTTTCTGAGTTGTTTTTTTTCTAAACAAATCATTCAATTAAATTATTTTTTTCTTTTTTGTATAATAATTTTATAAACGTTTAAGAGAACAGTTCATATTGAATAAAATAATTCAACGCCCACCCCACACCCTCGAGTGATGATAGTGAAATGTTATAATTAACTTGGTTATCATGATAGTATAATTATATAGTTATAAGTATACGAATGATATCAATACAAGAAAAAATAAAATATTTTATTGTTACAGAAAAGTTTGGAGATCATATGAAGTTTCAATCATCTTATAAAAATAATTAAATATTGACGTACGAGCTGTAACAATTATCAAATGAACTTTTCGAGTTTCTTTCATTAAATATTTGATATAAGTATGATGATTATCGAATCGATCAATAATTGTATTAGTGTTTTATCCAACATTTTTCTTCTGAAGGAATAATTTAAAATTACGAAATATCATATATCGACTTTCGGCAAAATAACTTTGATCTTCGATAAAGTGTTGTCCATGTCTGATAAAACACTGAACAGTAGCAGGTGTCTTTACGATATTTTTTTTCGTACTGTCTATAATTTAGAAGGTCTCGATATTGTATGCGTCTTTTTTATGACATTTCTTCTTCTGAAATTGTCAACAGAGAGTATTATGTGTTGTTTTTCTTTTTAAGATAACAACATGCACAACGAACGAAACAAAAAAGTTCGAAAGAGAAAAAAAAACTCATGAATTAAAATAAAAAACGATGATTTCAGCATTTTAATTCGCATGACATCAATGGGTTTTTTCTTCCTTTGCATCACTATAAGGTGACACGTCATTTTCAATAATGTATTATTATTCATAGAATATTTCACGTTAACAGAAACGAATGAATTTTATATCTTATCTATAATTTCTTTTTTTAATTTATGAAAAAAATTTTATCAATATTAATTCATTGATATTCAAAATTTTTGTTATGAAGATATTCTATGACACTATAGATTTGTGTTAATAAAATACTTTTGTTGTCGTATATTCTGTCCTATTTAAACAATATTTTATATAAAAATTTCGAATATATATCGTTTATGATTTTCTTTAATATAATATGATGATTCTTATCATTGTCATACGATTCTAGAAGTTTCCATGATAGAAAAACCAAAAGAATATAAATTTTCATTTTAAACATCATCTGTATGATCTTATAGATTTACTTTTATTCAACTTTTCTAAGGCAAATATTCTTACTTCACAAATTTTTTCCAAATAATCTTTTAAATAATTTTTCAATTTAGCATATAATTCACCACCAACAATATTTGCTCCATCATGTACATTATTTTGTCGTTGATTACTGCCCAGTTTTTGTGTTGATTTTGATGGTTGTTTTGATAGCTGTGTATGTGATGCAGTACTTGTACAATAATTGTAAACGTCACTATAATAAAATGTTTAGATAATAAAATTAAAATAAAAATAAACATAAATTATAATATTATATTTACCTATAAAGGTCCATATATGCTTTAGGTGACATTTCTTGAATTCGATATATACGTTCAATACCTTCTGATAATTTCATCCAAACATCATTCAAGTTCATATTACCGTCTGGACGCGACATTTTTTGTGTAATTCACCGTCTCTATTTTAAAGAAAATAAGACAAAGTAGTTCTTTGTAGAACAACATCATAATAGGAAATGAGTCATAGTCGTTTTTTTCCAAATACTTGTGTAAGAACATGAAATAAATATCACATAAAATCTTATGCTTTTTTTTTCATTTAATATACATACCTTATTCGATTGAATAATGTTTTGATGGCAAAAAACGATTTAACAAACTAGGATTTTCCAAAAATGAAAGTCACTTTGTCGTCTTGTTTGTTTACCTGATGCCGTCTCAACGACGTATAGACGAATAACTAAATAAAATAGAAAGAAGTAATGAGTAAACATGTTTATATAACGATATAAGGGATCTGATACGAAAATTTCAATGGAGCATTTCTAACCAATAGGATTTTTCTTTCCTGATCGACGCGAAACGTAGGCACAGTTTAATAAAATTTTTCTGTAAAATTATTTAGATGATGAAAAATAAAATAAAAATCAATAAATTAGTTTGATTATTACATGCGAATAAAAATTTATTTCAAAAATAGTTGCAACTTGAATATTTACTTAAAAAAATTTAAAATCAATAAAAACTTCCTTTTTTTCTTTTATGACTCTTGAGTCATTTCTATTGAATCAGTTTGTAATTTATTATGCATTTGAATAATACTATATCACTAACAATGGATGTGCTTGCCTTGTTCGTCTCAAAAATGGGATATATTCGTGTCAAATTAAAACTCTCAACATCAAACTAACAAGGTTAAAATATATTAGCGGCTCTTGGCTTGTCTAGAGGAAGATATTCGATTTTTACGGTACTCATCGTTTGAGTATATAGGAACATTAGGATTATTTAGATTAAGTTTTTATAGAATCAAGTAAGTATTTAAACAATAGGATTCAAGAATCTTTCTTAATTATATTAGTAGCATTAGGATCACATTAGTTTCGATGTCTTCCAGAACTTAAGTAGTGTTAACTCAGATAAAGATTAGCTAGCAGTTGTCAAAACCTTCAACTCATTCATAGCTTTGATTTTATTTCAACTGAAAAGAATAGATTATACACTACACTGTTTCAACAAATGTACTATAAATGTAAGTGTAGGTCTTCAATCAAATCATAGTAGCAAAGAGTTCGTTTGCACCAAGCACACATTAATATGGTAGTGTTCGTTCATTGCAATTGCTAATTGAACAGTACAGATCATAAAATCTGACGGAACCATCTTTTGGTTTTTCAATCTGTCCAATTGTTTCATTTGTTATTCGAGCTTGTATAAATCCATTCTTAATGAGATTTATAAATTGTGGAGCTTATAATTGATTGTGAATAACAGAATTCATGTTGATGAAATATTGACGATCATTTATAGTCATTTCCGTTCGTTTGATATGAATATAATGTTCGATTTTTTCATGAATAAATCGCCATGAACGACATAAAGAAAGATCTTGTGGTTGAGTATAACTTGTTGATCCTTCCGGAAAAATCAATAATTGTCTGTCTTGATTAGGAAATTGTGCTCTAAATTTTGTTATATCAGCTTGGGTTTTCCAAAAATCAAGGAAGAGAAGAAACTTTTTATCAATCAAAGGATGTAGAATTTTCTTTAAAAAAGCGTGATGTTTTCCATTGCTACTTTTTCCTGATTTTGAAACTCTTGCTACAACATTTGGTGCTACAATTGAATTTCTTTGTACTCTTTGACCGAATTGATTTTCTTTCTCTTGAAGAATGAGTAAGAACTTGTCTAATAAATGACCATTAGCTGATGTAACAGGTTGTACTGTGTAAGAGTGGGTTAAGTTGTATTTCTTTTCGACAGTCACTTCTGTTGTTCTTTCAGCAGTAAAAGAGAGGGATCTTGGAGACACGTGTTCCTGTTGAAATGAACAATGATCGCTATTCAAAATTTGATGGGAAGAATAGTTTGATATCAAACCAGAGATGTCCATCGCGGCGCTGCCGCGCCGCCGCCGCTGCCGCTGCCGCTGCCGCGGTGGCGGTGGCGGCGCGGCAGCGGCAGGTTTTTAAAAAAAATCACCGCGGCAGCGGCGCGGTAGCGGCAGATTTTTTTAAAAGTCATCGCGGCAGCGGCGCGGTAGCGGCAGGTTTTTTAAAAAACCATCGCGGCAGCGGCAGGATTTTTTTGGAGGACATTGAAAAACTGTATGAATTTAATAGAATTTCACGATTTACAAATGAAACGCCCTGATATTGAATAAATCTGATGGACTAGTACCCATATCTCTGGTCAAATATAGTCACAGCAGTGAAATTAGAAACACTTTTTTGAAAATCGTCGCGGCAGCGGCGCGGTGGCGGCACGTTTATTTTATAATTCATCGCGGCAGCGGCGCGGCAGCGGCGCGGCAGCGTCGCGGCAACATTTTTTTATAAACCGCAGCGGCGCGGCAGCGGTGCGGCAGGTTTTTTTTTCTAAGGCCGCGGCGCGGCAGCGGCAGATTTTCAGCCGCGATGGACATCTCTGTATCAAACATCTTTTACTTTCGATCCAATTTCGAGCATCTAAGATATATATGTATACTACATTAAGACATATGTTTTAAAGACCAAATAAAAGTTGGGCGTGGTTGTGGGTATGGGTGTGAGTGTTGCCTCTTTCCACACTCGCACCACACCCACACTCATACCCACATCCACACCCATACCTACACCCACACCCACCCACACCAACACCCATCCTCTTCGTCCTTACACATTCCATTACGATGGTATAAACACCAGACATACCGCGGTTCTTCAGCTGAAAACCGCTGTTATCAATAACGCGATTATTCGGCGGCATACCGCGGTTTCTAAGACCACTGAATACCGAGGTATTTGTCACCGCGGGTACTAATGACTATACCGAGATTTTTGAAACCGCTCAATTCCGCGGTATTTGCCACTGCGGTTACTAAGGACTATACCGCGATTTTAAAAACCGTTGAATACCGGATTATGCAATACCGCGGTTTCCAATAACTATATCGCAATTTTTTAGACCGTTGAATACGGTGGTATTTAGAACCGTGGTCCTGAATATGAGCAACGCGGTTTCAGAAAACCGCGGTTCAAAAAAACCGCCATCAATCGCGGTTATCCAATCAAACTGCGGTTTTGAGCGATTTTAAAAAAAAACATTTTCCATGGAATACCCCCCCCCCCCCCCCCCACATCCACCCTCACTCCACACCCACCCACACTCACACCCCACATCCACCCACGCCCACACCCACACCCACCCACACCCTCACACTCACACCCACACCCCACACCCACACCCTACTTCATGGATTTGATTTTTTTTGAATCGATGGGAAATAATTGCAAATCTAGCATTTGGGTGTTGATCAACCCATTCAATTACCTTTTCCATTTCTTCTGTGGTAAAACGATTTCTCATATGAGAATGGTCATTCTTGTCATAATCTTCAGTTTCTTCATTATTCTCTCCGTCATCCGCCATTTCTTCAGCTTCATCATCGATCTCTTCGCCATCAGTTAATTCATCATACTCATCATCGAAGTCGAGGGTATCATAAACATACAGCTCACTAAAGTAGCTATCTTTAAATGACTTTAAAACCTCGAACAATTGTTCTGAATCAAAAATTTCATCAATAGTTGCCACAGAATTTTCAGATCCATATTCAATTTGAGCCAAATAGAGAAGATATTTGGCTACGTTCAATAAATTCATGTTTTGATTTGATGAAATAAACTTTTTTAGACAGTAGATAGGCGAAAAACAAAAAAGAATACCTATTATATTGGATATTTCTTTGTGATGTCTTAACACCAATTGTAATGAAACGGTCGATAGGAACTGCTCACATATTAAAGTTTTCTTGTTCTTTTTTTAAATCCCTCTTTTCTATATTAGGACAGGTATTATTAGAACTTGTAAGAAACCAGCTCGTGATTACTACTCACATTTTGCCTATTTGTTTCTGTCAACAATTGCATAATATATAAATAGCTTTTTAGACCACCAAGGGATGCATTAATGCACTTTAAGTTTAAAAATTATACGTATAGGTCGTTTTTCAAACATATCGTATGTCGCTTTTTCATTTCGATACTACTTAAGTTCTGGAAGACATCGAAACTAATGTGATCTTAATGCTACTAATATATTTAAGAAAGATTCTTGAAGCCTATTGTTTAAATACTTACTTGATTCTATAAAAACTTAATCTAGATAATCCTAATGTTCCTATATACCCAAGCGATGAGTACCGTAAAAATCGAATATCTTCCTCTAGACAAGCCAAGAGTCGCTAATATTTTAACCTTGTTAGTTTGGTGTTGAGAGTTTTAATTTGACCCGATTATGTCCCATTTCTGAGACGGACAAGACAAACACCTCTATTGTAAGTTTTTTATTATATATCAATATCGAATATATATTAATAAATGATAATAGAACAATGTAAGTTAAATTTTATTATTTTTTATTTTATTGGATTGTGATCAGCATCATCATTTTTTAAATTTAACAAGATTTCATATCCGCTTCAATATCAGACTTATTCTGAAATAAGGATAATATTTTTTTGATACTATAAGTCTATTAGTTTTTCTTGACTGCATATTCTTATTCAAGATTTTCTACTTGTATTATTTTGTATCATTTGATTGAAAGCAAACAAAAGAGAACATAAATGTTTCATGTTTCTAGAAAAAAAAAGAAGTTTGAGCAAAACCACATTATTTTCATCTGGATATGATTGTTATAATCGAACGTCACAGTATCATTTGACAAACTATGGTTTTATTGATTCGTCAAAAAAATATAATGGTGACGAGCCAGTATCTCAATTTTGTTCGTGATGGTATTTAAGACATCCAGAATGTATCTTATGTGCAATATTGTTCTTATATATCACAAACTGTACATAAATAAAATACAAGATAAGTGTACCAATTAGGAGAATATTCTAGGCAACAAAATATACGGCTTATTATAATAGTTTGTGCAAAAATTCTTATAT